TTTGAGATGCAATTATTGAGGAACTTGGCTGCAAATGACACAAAATCCATTTATCTGGCGGCCAATTACAGTGAATTGGGCGCTTGTGGGCCATTTTAATTATTGGGGGTCATTTTAAATGCTTCTCCAAATTTCAAGGACCAAAGCTGAAAATTTTCCTAGGTTTTACTATTAAAAACCATGCAGATCCTAGGGGGGAATTCGGCAGCCAATTGAGAAGAAAAACCTAGAGAACCAGAACGGCTAGAAGGGAGAAAAAGGAGAAGGCAAAACTGCCGGCTGCTTTGAGATTATATACAAACATAGGCAGATTTTTGGGGAAGAGATTGCACGCCAACTTGGAGGGAAGAGATATAGGAGCACACCGAAATTAAAAAGGAACGAGAACTGCCGGCTGCTGGAGGAGATTGTGGGGGCTGAATAGAATATATATCTTACGTAATTCAGCAGCAATTGGAGAAGCTTTGGGAGACAAAATTATATACATATACATACGAAAAATCGAGGCAATAGGAGAAGCGGCCTGGGAAATCTGGTCGGTATTTTTGGGAGAGAAATTCTGCCATTAAATGGATTGTTCGGCACAAACACGGAAGTAGATATATACATATACGCCTACAGATTCATAAGAGTTGTTGCCAGCTGGTTTCAGTATATATGTTTATATATTCATGCACATGCAAACAGTGGCCGAAAATTCTGAATCAAATCTGGAAAAAAATTGCAGCTGAATTGGAGTTTTCGGAAAGAATATTGGGCGGCTACTGTTGGAAATATAAGGTGGCAGCTTAGGAAATTATTGAGAGATACATACAATTAAAAGGGCAGTTGCTTGGAGATTGATTTACATACCAATTAGGAAACAAAGGTGACGGCTGAATTGGGCATAAAGTTGAGAAATAAACACGCAAATTGAAGGGAATTATGAAGAAATAGCACGGCCATGACAGATTCACTTAGGGAAAATTAATAATGCTCCGTCAATTGGTGATCTCTTTCCACTTTTATTTATTTAATTCTCGCATCATGTTTTGCTAATTCCTTTTCACGTATTGGATGATGACAAAATTGTTTAATTTTTAGTTTTAATTCGAGACCTATGTTTTTATGTTAATCATTGCGTTGTGATTCCAATAATATGCATAATTAGATTGTTTTAATGTTTGCGCATCATTAGGATAATAAGTTGCTTTTTCGTAGTGTTGGAAAATTCACGATAAGTAGAACACTATTGTTGGAACACATGGGCAATAAATATCAGGAATAGTATTTGTGGCGTGTGCGATCTTATATGAAAATTCTAATTGTCAATGCATGTTTGCCATATGAATTCGACTTAGGAATATGATCGTCTCGTGGTAATCATAGGTTTATTATATCTTGGAAAAGAATAATAAATAAATAAATAAACGGAATTATCGATCGTCGCAATAGCATAAATTGAGATAATTATTATTGGTTGAGAATTAGAACTAAGAATTAATCAATGGTGTCGGAAATCCAATACGTTTACACATTTGAATTTTTAAACCAAATTTAATTATTTTCACAAGTTTTAGTTATAAAAATTATTTAGCTATTCCCTCGATCGTCTTTTAGTTACAAATACGAATTAAATATATCAAATATACTAAAATTGATCCTTATTTCTTGTGGGACGATAACTCTCTCATCACGATTATTACTTGTACAACGAACCCGTACGCTTGCGGGAATTCGACGAACAGAGACACATTTACAAAAGCTTGGAATAGGAATCCACAAAGAAACGATCCAATTCAGACATATTCACAAAAGCCTTGGGTCGTGATCAGTTCCATATATTACTTAGCATGTTGGGCATTCTACTCTTTCGTGTGGGAAAAAGACTGCTTCTCAGGAAGGTACAAAGTAGGTTGTTGCTGAAAAAGAAAATTTAAGTACCGTATATGTTTTTTTCAACCCTTAATCATATATAAGATAACTTATTTTAATCACTCTGTTTTTGACATTTCATACATATGTAAATCATTATGTGATTTTATTATAGTATTATTATTTGGACAAATTGCTAGTTTGAGTACCTATAATAAAAAAGGACTAAAAATTTAGGTACCGTTTGTATTATTTCAACCCTTTATCATAGTAGTCATATTAGTGAGGACAATGAAACTCGGCCCTTTAACTCACGAGCTCGAGCTCGGCTCATTGCTTAGGACGAGCTCGTGGTCTCACAAGCCACGAGTTCGCGGGCCGAACCAAGTCGAGCCTGGATTGAGCCCTTGCTGGGCTCGGGCTCGTCAGCGGACGTTTGACATCCCTAGTCATACAAGATAAACTCTCTCTCTCTCTTTTAGTCATGTAACAAACATTACTCGTTGGACTTTCATAACAATCCATCTTTCTTGAATTTTTCATAAACAAATTATAAACAAATTCAAATTAATTGAATATTTAACGTGCAACATTATCAGGCATGGCAAATGTTTAAATTGAAGTTTTAGTGCGATAAGTTTATAAAAATAAAAAGATACTATTAAGTGATTATTTATTTATCAATAAAATAAAGTATTTTAAGGAAATTTATTTCCTCTTACTATATTCAAAACATTAGAGCCCGTTTGATTTGCATTTCATTTTTTAGTTTTGAGTTCATTTTCCTTTTTCTTACGAGGGCTTGTTTTAAGATTTCTAAAAATGCATTTAGTTTATCGTTTTAAAATATTATTTGCCAAAACAGAAAACTAGAAAATATGCTTGTTGTGATATTTTGAAAAATTATTTTATGATATTTTGTTTCATTAATTTTGATTATTCAGTGAAACTAGAATAATTTTATGTTAATCTATTACCAAGTAATATACATTTTAAAGTTAATGAATTTTTAGAATATATATATATTTTTTCACTACAAAAGTAGAATAAAAATAAATAATAAATTGAGTTCAAAATAAAAATAAAAATTAATGGCATGAATTGGGAATATTTTTATCCATTTTTATTTTTAAATATTTTTAAAAAAAATTAACATTAAAAGCTTTAGCTTCTTCTTTTTCTTTTTTTAATTTTTTACGTTTTATAATTTTATTTTTCAAAATTTATTTTTATATTTTGAATTATATAATTTTAGAATAATAGTTATTTAGAATTTTAGATTTTATCCTTTTAAAATTTATTTTTTAGATTTTTATAATTATTTTATATTTCTTTATTTTTAGAATTTATTTAAATAAAATTTTATTTAAACTCTTGCATTTCTATGATTTGAGAGTTTTCATAAATTTTACTAAAAATTGGGGATTGCAACGAGGAAGGTGTGGGACGAGTTGGCCATTTCCACCTTCCGTGCCATCAAATATTCTTGTCAGCTTACCCCATCCCCTTTATATGAGTATCAATTAGGTCGGGAAAAAAATCGAAAAATCGATCAAATCAATCAAACTGAACCGACTTGAGTTGGTTTGAGGTAGGTAATTAGTTTGGTTTGATTTTGTTTTAAATAAAATCATAGTGATTTGGTTTGGTCATGGCAAATCACTAGTTAATCGAACCAACTCAACCCTTTTATACGTTTACTCTTCTTTTTTTTTTTTTAAGAAAAATAAAACCAAAAATATAAATCCTAATCTCATCACTATATCATGATTCCCTCTAAACTATAATATTATCAGTAAGTAATAGTACTAAAAACTTCCCTTTACAAGCTCATTATATTATACTTAGCCCTGTTTGACCCCTATATTTGGATTTATAATGGGGGAAAAGTGTTATTTTGAAAAATGGATGGTTGTAAAATAATGAAAAGTTTTCGATTAGCGTGTAATATTATTTTATTGAAGATTGTGTGGTTGAAAATATGAGAGAAAAAATTTAAATTAAATTGATGAGTTTTAACGGGGCCAAACAGGGGTTTAGTCTTTTTTTCCCTACTCAGGCAGTCAGGCTACATAATGTACAAAAATGCGACAAAATTCTTATGTTTTTTGTTAATATATCTCTAGTAACATAATTTTATTTGTAAGTGAATAATTCTTGTAAATATAAAGTTATTTAGTTATTGTTATTCAATTGGGCCCAAAACTTGGACATTTAAAAATAATAGTAATTCAATTTGGACTAAAAGTCCAAACCGACTAATTTGATTTTGATTTTGGGTTGGTTTGATTTCGGGTTGGAGTCGAAACGAACCCAAATCAAACCAACCAACTCGAAATCAAACCGCGCCAAGTCCTACTATCAATACAATTCATTTCTCATGAAAATTTCCTTAAACAAAATTGAATTGATTGGACGATAGATTTTAAATTGTGCTCCCGTTTGATTTTCATTTATATAAGAATGAAAAAGAAAAATATAGTTGTTACGAAACCCACACAAAAGAGAGAAAGTGAAATGTGGTGGTTTGATGTGATGAATAACAGTTATATTTTTTCCATATTAGATCATTTAATTGATATATAATATATATTTTGTAATATCGCCATGAGTTTGCACAAATATCATCATTTTTGTAGAGGTGATCTCGTAGGTCCTACGGTATTAAGATGATGGGATTCGTCCATACATATGCCAATCCAATCACGATCCTAAAATAAGAACGAGAAATCTTTCCCAATCAATCCCTTTGTTCTTTATTTTTCAAAATCACGTTAGTTCTATTTTTTAAATTTATTTTTAATTACACATTTTATGATTTTATAATTTTTATTAATTTTTAATCATATATTTCATTATTTTTATCGAACTCTAATAAAATTTTAATTTGTTACTAAAGCGGGCTAAATATTAGTCAACTATTAAGTTAATCTTAGCCATTGTTTGGTCTACATTACTTTCAAAATACATTTTCTTTATTTTATTTTCAATTATATATTATTATACGTAAATTCAAAATTTTTCTTATTTTTTAATTATATATTCTCCATCAAAATATTATTCAAAAATACATTTTAAAATAAAAGTGGGCTCCAACCGGCTCTTATTTTTATTTTCCTGGTCATATAGTGGTTTTAAACCGGCCCTTATTTTTGGATTTGCTAGCCTAAAAACCAAACAATGTTTGGTAGGATTTTCAATTCAATAGGTTTCCTTGAAATTTTCCACTCGACCGAGAATTTTACAGTTCTCCGATGACGGCAAGTGCGAACCCTTCGGGGAGATTCAGCAAATATAGCATCAACAACAATGGCGGTGCGAATGGTGACACCAGTTTTAAAGGTGCGGTGCCGGAAGACGCCGTGGCGATTCTCCATCCCAACTTCGGTACCTCCCTCGATTGGTCCCCAAACGAACAGTCCATTCTTGAAGATTTGCTTTCCAAGTCAGCCCAACCCCATTTCTTTGTGCTTGTAACTGTTTTGTGCGCTTTATTTGCTGCATTTTTTTTTGTGTAAAGAAAGATAACCAAACCTGGATATTGTTTTTCTACATTGACTGTATATGTTTCTGGAAATATGTTGAATTCTTATCGACCTTGCTTTAATTCGTATTGGTAATTACTCAATTTCGAGAGTGTTGGACTGGAGTGCAATGATAGTTCCTTTTGAATCTGCTCTCCTGTCAACAATTATTATATGAGGTAGTAAAGTCTTATAATTATCTTTTTTCAATTGGGAGAGATAGCTGAGTGGACTAAAGCGTCAGACTGCTAATCCGTTGTATTATGCTTAGGAGGATCTTTTAATGTTAAAACCACGAGCTACATTGCGTATGAACATCACCTTCCTAAATTATGAACAGTGGCAGTTTACTCTTCACAAAGGATTATAATTGAGCTATAGGGAAATTTATAGCATTCAAGGGCTCAACGCTGATTGATTCTGCAAGTCTGGCCTTTAAATTTTGGTTTTGACATTTATATTTCTTTTTCCTAGAAAACTGATTGAAATTTTAAATATCTTTTTTGAAACATATACATGTTAGACTTTCCTTAAAAGCTTTGCACTTGGACTATATATCTAAGGTGAGAATTATACATACACGAAAGGTTTTACACGAGTCCTTATATGCATATACATATATGTATGTTTTGTATGCAAAAACCATTAGGTGTAACTTGCGAACTCCACATTGCAAGAAGCATTGTGCTGATGCCAATAACCATAGTTCGGTTGTCTGCTTTACTGATATACTTGTCTCTCTACCATTGGTATCAAATTCCAGGTTTGATTCCTCTGTCAATTTAATCAAATTATAATTGACTTGATAGAGTCAAGTAAGCCATTTGTGCTTGCTTTTTTGGGGGTGGGGGAGTGGGGGGCAACAGCAGCAACTTTCCAAAAGTTCGGCTGTAAGCATAACAAAACTCACCATCCAAGTGGACCAAAAATGACTCCAACAGCACCTTACAGAGCAGGGACCTGATAATCACATGCTACCCATAATTCATAAAATAGAAAATCTGCACAATTAATAAACAAATTAGCAGAGATACTATGCATGAAATGACCAAAAATCCAACTTTTGCGTCAGAATTTTTGTTCAGGAATATTAAAATTCTATTCAATTAATGTAATTATAGGTATTCTTTATACATTCAGTAACATCCAAAACGGATTATGATAAAAGTCAAATACTATTTTTAACTCTTGGAGATTTACAACATATTTATTAAATATAATAGTTAGATGGGACAGTTATTGTTATTTTATATCATGGGGTTGTTTCAGTCTGAGCAATTATTCCTTGAATCCTACTATGCCAAGGGTGTTAATTAGTTAGGTTTTGATACACTGTGGACTGTTATCTTAGCATTTAGATGAATTGTACTTTTCATGGGTTCTTTGGTTGGAGAATATTTTCAAGGAGTTTTCGTAGTTTTTCAAGGTTTTATGGTTTTTCTTTTCTATAAGAAGGTCGAGACGAGGATCAAAAAGCCGAAAGACGAGGGGGCAAAACTCCTATGTTTTATTTTTGTATGTATTTCGCTGAATTTTGTATATGCCTATAAAATTCTTACCAATGCCTCTTTAGTTAACCACTTAAATGTAGAAACCGACTCCTTTACTCCAATTTATACGAATAATTTATTGCAACTTTCCTAATTTTTCTCCTTTATAGAAATACATTTTAATTATTGATATCAATCTCTCGTCAGCTAAATTGTTTACAGACAGACTCTACTTTTTCGTGGTAACACACAACCTATTCAATTCACTTAACCTCAAAAATAGGGAAACAAAATCCCCAAAAACATTCTAGAGCAAATTGATTAAGTTTTAGATCATAGATGGCTGCAATTGGGAATCCTTCTGGTGGTCATGAGAACAATTTTGATAATTACAAGAATCGTGAACAACAGAATATGATCTGCACCACCGGTAATTGCCACCCAGTTCCCAATAACTCCTTGGTGGGCCCTTCTCAGGTTGCCCTCCGTTATAGCTCCGGCCTCTCCGTCAAATGGTCCGATGATGAACAGCACATCCTTGAAGATTTGCTCTCCAAGTCAGACAATTCTCTTTCTAAATTTCTCATATTTATCTTTTGCTGCCTGGAATTATGCGTATTTACATTATATGCGCACGTGTGGGTTTCTATAAAAAGTTCCTTTTTTTTTTTATTATTTTTTAATCCATTGCAATTCATTGAATTCTTGGGATTTCTCATTTAACTAAATTTTGTGTCTTTTTGGCTAAGAAATTCTTTGACGGTGAAATCTCGTTCATCATGAACTTGTAGGTCTTGGAAAATAAAATCTGCAATGGAACTGTATTTTTGACAAGGAAGATTGAAATTTTAGGACTTTGGATTCATGTATTCCAATAATATCTGGTTACAGATCCATAAGCTTCAATTATAGTACTTGCAGCACATTTGCAGTATACATTTGGGAAAAATGAGATGTAGAATTTAGAGGATCAGCGTATAGTAAACTTTTTGTTTTCTTCTGGAGATCAAATTATCATTTGAACAAAACAAATATAAAATAGTTGCTCTCATTTTTCAATTTCTGAATATATCGAATCAGCTATGGGCCTGAGCTGAGGTTTAGTAACTAAAAAGGAAAAGGGAAACAAATCAAGATTTTACATTACTATCAATTCTATATCATTGTGATAATGACAATTAACATACAAGACTTGTAAATAATGCCGGAATTTCAGTAAGCGAATTTGAAAGTTTCCTTCATAATACAAGAATGTTTTGAGTTTTACTAGAAATGTTCTAGTTCAGTTGAATTCATTAACCTTTAGTAAATTACCTCTGATCTCCCATCAGTTTTGAAAAGCATTACCATACTATTCATTATTTATGATGTATTAGATTGACTGTTTGCAGTTTATCTCTATGCAATTTTTTCTGTGTTGCATCTTGTTGCTCGTTCATGGACAAATCTTATATAACTAATTAACTTTTGCAGATACACCTCAGACACTATCATAGTTCGGTATGCTAAAATTGCTCAGCAGTTAAACGATAAGACAGTTCGCGATGTGGCATTGCGCTGCAAATGGATGACTGTGAGCTCTTCGTTTTTGTTGCTTTTCTTTTTATAATTTCTGTTATGATTGCTTGTGACTCTTGTTACATAGACAGTTCATGATGTGCCATTTAGTTATGCATGCACATCCATAAGATTTTTATGTGTCGACAGTCTGTAAAGCTTGGTAGGTTGGCATTTTCTTTTTGTTGTACGATCATGAGCAACATAATTTCAAAAGATACAAAGAATTTCTGATATCAAAATCTAAACTCAACTCTAGATCTAAAATGACTGATAACCAGGGTCTTTCCCAACTGCAAATGATGCCAATATGTAAAGAAGGCACTCCGCAAGATTAGAACTTATGTCTCTGATCCCTCTTGTAATTATGGAATTACACAAATAAGCCCATGGCGGCTTGTATGGCCACAGGCTGTGTCTTTCTTCAGTGGAATAAATCCTGTCAATATAATGCCTCTTCTCTGGATGAAAGTAAATGGGTTTCAGCAAGGGCAGCAGTTCCTGCACCCAAATTTTCTTTTCTTTCATTGAATTTTTTTAATTATTTAAAAAATGCGTCACCAGAGCATTTAAAGACTAAATATTTGACTTTTCATTTCTTGAATGAACTAATGCTGATTATGCAAGATTTCCTAAATCTTTGAGAGTCACACTTAAGGGATCACTGACATGCACAAAAAATAAGGAAAAAGTAACAGTCTCTCCGATGCACACGGATATGCATTTGATTAGTGATATAGAGAATACAAACACTTCATGGTAGTTCCAGAAATATTTGGCAAGAAATTGCTTGTAATAAATTCATAATGTTGAAAGTTTGGCAACAGCAGTAGTTTTAATATGTTCATGCAATTATTGGTTTTTCATGAAACTAGGTGATGGCGGTGAGGAACCTCCAACTTCAAGTAAAGGATGCAGGGTTGGCAGGAGATTGTACATTTGGAAAAATATATTCTGTGATTTCATAATATAATGCGGAAGTCAACTCAAATGTTTTGATATTACACTCATTCAAAGTGATGAACCATGTTACTTAATTGTGAAAGTGGTAGACAAGAGATAAATTGAGCATTCTTGGAAAAAGGAGAGAGAAAACGAAATGATGAGAAGCAATTTTGATCATCGAGAAAATATAGAGCTTTTTTGGAAGAGATTCTTCTAAAATCATTTTTAATCACACGGACCCATAACTTTTACTACTTTTTAGCCACACATTCTCCAAAAAAATCATTTTTCCTTTCAAAAAATCTCTCCCAAACAAGCTCCGGATTTGCTCTGCAACTGATGATAAGAGTTAGAAAGTCTAGAATGAAGTTAATAGGAAGTACACTCTAGTTGTTTTATTATATCTTTTCAGTTAACTCATGGAAATTCTGACACAATTGGTTTGCTGTTTCGCAGAAGAAGGAATATGGAAAGCGAAGGAAAGAAGATCAAAATTCATTGAGGAAAAATAAAGACAAAAAGGTAGTTAATGTATTGCATGCTTTCGTCTGTCCCCAGCTGTTTGTGTGTATACTACGAGTCTCTTCTTTCTCTCTTTCCCATCTCTTCTGCCGATTAACCGATTCTCCAATGGACATCTGTATTACTCAATTTATATGTTAATAGCAAAGTTTGAAGTGGGAAAAGAGATGGCCTTTCAATTTCTGTTGTAAAGAACCAACAATTAGTATAGATAAATCTCTTACTTTGTTTCTGTTTAGCTTGATGTACAATTTAGAAGTTCACAAGCAATCACTGTCTTTACTTTATTGTAAAGAAGAAAATGGACCAACTGAAGCTGCAGGTCATAAAGAGAAAGCTAAAGAAGAATCTCATTATATACTGGGCCATGCTTTTTCCTGTAAAAGAGTAATTGCTGGTAGGGTTTTTAGTAAAAATGTTCATAATGATCTTGAGAATACTAGATTCCCTGCATCTGTTACATGGCACCCCAGGTGATGGTGTATTGCAATGTCACTCTCAAACGTTACTTTATTCATTCCTCTGACTGACTTTGGAAAACTTAATGAAGTGTTTTGTTTGCTAATAGATCTAATTGCAACGTAGTTGTAATCTGAGTGTTTCACAGTAAACTAATCATAATCAGTTTGGATAATGCAAGCCAGATGGATACAGAGTAATGGATGGTTAATATATGTAATGCATGATAGGAAAACTGTATGTGTCAATCCCACTCAAGGGACCTGTTTGGGCTTTGTAGCCATTTTTGGGTCTAGCTATGGATCTGATTGCAGATTGAATATTGTTACCCACTATGATACTCCGATAAGGACACGTGTATCCGGATATGCCGATGCGCAATTTTTCAAAAAGTACTGACGCGACATGTTGATACATTGATTAAATTCTTCATTATATAGTATAAATTTAGTTTTATACTTGTTATTAATTTTTCTTCTTTAAATCTTTTAAATATGAGTATCTATTTATTATTTACTAATAACTTTGAGTTAAAATTATATAATAGTTTTCACTAAGAAAAGAAAAATAATTATGGTAGAGTGTCGGTATCGATAAGTATCGAACACGGACATGCTGCTCTACTTAATGTGTCAAACAAAGGTTACCTATATTTGTAATTTGTAGATTTTGGGGCAGCAATGCCCTTGAGGTGCTGATAGGATGCTAATGTTGTTTTGTTTAGATCAATATGCCGTTCAGTTTCTTAGTTGTCAAATTGTAAAGGTGTTCCCTTCTCTATTTGATTACATATCAGCAAAAATGATCGTAGGAATGAAATCCTTGGGATAAAAAAAAAAAAAAAGAGCTCCAGGCACCTGCAGGATCAGCATCAACATCTCAAAACTGTTGTTAGTCTAATCTTCTGTTGCATAACCCAATAATCCTGATGCTCGGAAATATTTCCAGCTTTTACCATCAGTCATTACTTTTTTTATTTACTTCTACAGACGTTACCATTGAAAAAACTTGTATTCTTGCTTTTTTGGGATTCTCAGGTAAAAGCTACAGATTCTTTGCCAAGATCTTCTAAGGTTGCTGCTCAGCCAGTGCTGTCAATCAACAATGATGATGGAATCTCATATAAAGGTTTCTCTCTCTCTGAATGACTAGGGGCTTGTTTTACCATTTGCTTAACCCATACGGGTCAGAACTCAGAATTTTGTTTTATTTTTGTTTAGGCATCCCAATATTATGATTTCTGATTTCTCTCTCAACATCCATAAAAAGTTTGCAACTCCCTCTTCACATCCGAGTGGAATGATGATATGATATAGGGTAATTAGCATGAATTGCAGGCTAGATTTAATGGTAAGCTTTGTATATTATAAGTAATCGTCCCTGCTTTTTTGCTAATTGCTCTCCTCTCTCCAGCACGGGTTCTCTCACCTGAGATTACCTTGGTAATTAGAACAATCCCTAAGCTCTATGTTAGATTCAAAATTCATAGCAGCATCGAGAGAATATTTTGAAGTTGAGGTTTAGGTGATTAATAACTTGGTTATGACGTGGATGATCTGTTGGTAGGAATGGATGTTCAACATGGAATTTTGCATATTTGGTCAGTTTTATCATTTTCCATAGTGTAGTATGTAGATTAGATTCCTATTTGAACTTTGTGAAACAAAAGAGGGCATAACTGAGATTTAGAATCATTGAAGACGAAATACCATCACCCCTCTCTACCTGTGAGATTACTGGGGCCTGGTCATTGCCGCTATGTCTATTTTCCTTCTTCTTCGGTGGATATGCTTCCATGGTTAGATGTTTAAAGGGTGTATAAAATTTTTTAATTGCAGACATTGCTGGAGCAACTGGCCAGCTTCTTCAGCAAAATGCTCAAGCCTTGGATCAAATTTCTGCAAACTTTGCTGTTTTCAAGGTAATCTGCTATTTATATTTAGTTTTTGAACTGTTGTAGAAGAAATTTTACCAATAAAAGGTATGTAAAGTGCTATTACGTGCTTCTACCTGATGATTTCTTAATACGAGAACCTGAATATTCTTCTTTCATCAGTTGCTGATACATGTCTGAGCTGTTATTCAAAATTTGATCTACGCTGGTCAGGATAATCTATTTAGGCAATTTACTTGTCCCAATGTATTTTTCAACAGAACAAATGAACCTAAAAGTATATTGTTAGAGCAGTTGTCTGTTGTGAGATCAAGTTATATAGATCGCGGGTTAATCTTGTGTGCTGAGACTTCCAAACAAACCCAATCTTCTTCATTATCAGTGGAGAATAATGGCATCCTGACAATGCTTATACTAGATGTTGCAGTATGGGGATTAATGTGTGCAGCTGGTTAGATTCTGTCAGGTTAGGACGACTGATTAGTGTTCTGAAAATGAGGGGAGGAAGGATTATTTGAATTTCTGACTGAGGAAGTAAGAGATTCTGTCATAGTATGGGTCTATCAGACTGTGAACTTCATTTTCTGTCCAGGAACTATGTATAATTGATCTCTTACTTGGATTCAGTTTATGCATTACCATCTGCTCTAAAAACTCAACACCTAGGTGAAATAGATGCACTCCAAGTTAAAAACACTTTGATTGATTGTCTTCATTGGAGGCATGGCAGAAAAGCATCATTTCTAGCAGTGACCTGATGGTATTAACATTATTTTTCTTGTTCTACTTGCATGCAGATACAGGAGAATATCAACCTCTTCTGCCTAACCCGAAACAACATCCTAACAATGTTGAATGAGTACGTATACCATCTGTATCACTTGATTGTTAGCAAAGAAGAGATGCACTTATTCCTTGCTTGTATAAAATGTTTCCTCCCTTTGCTGCGGCTCATACCCATGGCTTTTATCTTTTCTTTTCTTTTCATTCTAGTTCTACCTTGGTCATTTCTGAATATATTTGCCTGTTATGGATGGACGTGAGATTAATTTCGTGCTTCATTCTTATTTTTATTTATTTGGTTGTGGTGACTGAGAATTGCTGCGGAAGTTTCCTAAGGAGTTTGCCACTTTGTTATTTTCTCAATATGTATTGTGAATTGGCCAGCCAGATTTTCCCTTAATGTTTCCTTTTCTGTTTTAATTAAAACAATATGTGGTGGCTTATTTAATTAAAATCATAAAATAAGAGTACATCCTTAAGGGGAGGGCTATGCCGATCATGGACACTGTTATCTTGCAAATTTTTAGATTTATCTCTCTTTGCCCAGTTTGTCTTGATTTCTGATTGATGAAAGGATATACATGACACACGTTTAGATATGCATGATAACAAATCACCACATTGATTCTGCCAATCATAGGATCGAGGTGAAGATGTTGGAACTCCCAAAGCAGATGCCACCATTTCCTGTGAAACTGAATGAAGAGCTTGTCAACTCCATTCTTCCTCAAACATCCATGTTAATGCCAATGCAAATGCCTAATCAATCTTGAGAGGCTCTCCTTCCTTACATAGTAATAACGCTTCTGACTGCTTTGTTTTAGTTGGCTCCTTTTTCGTATTTATGTATAGAGAAATAAACTGCCTAGCCAGTCCAGTCTGAGTCGAATTTTCTATTATCTGGTTATTTCTCATGCATCTTTTTTTATTTCATCGTGTTCTGCTGGATGATCTGTCTTAAGAAAGAAGTTTTTATAGCATCTGTAAATAATTGTCAGGTAAAATAAGTTGGAGGTTTTACTATTTAGTTACAGGCTGCATTTACCTAGATGTTTTATATTTTTGAATATCTTTCAGTTGATTGGTTAATGTATACTATGAAGTGCTCCAATCTAGTAGCCGAAAATATGGTATTTGGCGTGAACAGCAATCTCATATTCCTAATTAAATGAACTATTTTTTATGTAAAGCGTATGTATGCAAATAATATAAACAATTAATTTCATTTACAAGATGCTAGATCATCATCATCAACAAAAATGGAATAAGTTGCTGGTATTGTTATTGAAGATTTGTTACTCACTCCACACTGGAATTATTCCTTGAGCAGCCAAACGCTTCTCAACCCAGAATACAACATGTTTGGCTGTTGGTCTTTTCTCATCAACTAGAAATGGCTCTACAGTGCTCACTCCTGTCCCATATGAAGATAGAGAGAAACCTTTGGGACCTGTCACCCAAAATCATAAAAATTATACTTGCATACAAAGCCAAACAGGGTTATTTTACTATTGCCAGTATTAAAAATTAGACTTACCTGTGAGATTTCCATCAGGGAAGAATGCCCAAAATGAATATGGGTTGCCTTTCTTAAAAAATGAACCTTCCAACTGCCATGTATTATTTCATTCAACAATTACAAATCAGGCAAAACATTGTGCTTTATTGATATTTTCTTGTTGAATACAAAATTTAAATACAGGGCTCAACAATGTATTATCAGAGTATATACATGTACTGATTTAAAGTCTCCATGAAACTTATGAAAAAAGTTAATATGTTAGTTCGTAAAAAATGAACCATGCGAGAAATGCAAGTAGAAGACATAATCTAAATTTTGTTCTCTCTAACAACATAAACTTTCGAAGGAGGGGGTCAATGTGTGTGCTTATGCCCGTTTGTTACCACTAAAAAAATTAGTCTAAATCTAAATCAAAGTCAACAATTAATTTTAACGACACATTTTATAGTATCCACAATTTTTTAACCACACATTATATCATTTTTTATCAAAATTTGTTAAAAATCTCGACCAAACATGGGCTATATCTAATTCTAATCAGAAATAATATTATGCATTTTGCATTTGTAACTGACCTTGTTGTCATTAAATGATAGTTCAAGTTCTGAGATATCATCTTGAGTTTGTAGAGTATCTTTGAGTGCAGGGATGACATCCTCCTCCATCAGCTGAGGCAAACCTTTGGCTGGAGCTTTGGCTGCAGCCTTCGGCTTTGGCTTCGAGGCCACGGCTTCTTCAGCCGGCTTTTCATCCGTTTTCTCCTTTGTTTCAGCGGCAACTAGTTTTCACAATTATAAGTAGATAAGACCACTTCTATCTAAAAAGACATCTTTTTGTTTATATCATATCACAGATTCATTAAGAAACCACCTGTGGAAGTAGATGATTCTTGAACTGCCAAGCAGGCCATATTTCGTTGCCGTGGAGTTACTAGTTTAATCACCTGTTTCACATAGACAAAAGTTTCTTTCAGATCCAAATTCGATATTTTCTCTCCCCGGATAAGATGAAAATGCGGACATGGGGTGAGCTGGATTCATGGTTTTTAGCGATTACCCAAGAATTTCAATGTGTGAATTAAGTTGGTTTGTACTCTAAAAATAACATGAAATGCTATATACAAAATAAGTCAAGAATACCAGTGGAAGGCTGGAGCGTGGCCTGCATTTATGGTTGAATGAAGAAGAAGATGAAAAGCTCGAAAAAGCAATGGATCCTCCGGCCGTAGTCACCATTTCTGTGAACTCTGATTTTATAAAATATTAGAGCTCAATCAAGCATTTCATTTTAATGGTTGATATAAAAGGTTCTTTTAGTTTTAACAGAGAGGAAGCTTTATTGTCCACACACTGGTTGGAGCATGGTTGCCACTGATTTTCCAAGTTAAAGAATCAACAATTTTTTTGGGTTCATAAATGGCTATGTGATAAGTTCAATATTGGGCTATTGGCCACTGATTTTCCAAGTTAGGGAATCAATAATCTTTTGGGTTCATAAATGGCTATGTGATAAGTTCACTACTGGGCTATTGACAAAGTTGGGTTTTGGTGCCTTATGGGCCTTCTACGGTGATTTTGAATAAACAAGGGAAATTGTCATAGATAACACTTTTAGATGCAAAAATAATGTTTCTAGTATAGCACTCGTAGTTGGATCTTTAAATATAGCTGATGTGTAGGCTAAGAGATGCCCATTACGTGTTTGATTGAGTAGTAGATGTTAACAATGCAAAAATATTAACGAGTGCATTGTCGTCGAATCTAAATTCACATTGCTTTGGCTAGTAATATAGAATAATATGAGGAAAAAGGTACGTTAAAATTTTATTGACAATAAAAAAATTATTGTTTGATTTATTCATTTATAAATCTCGATCATTTTATGTACGCACAATATTTGATAAGTAGTCACAATAAATTCTAAGTAGATCATATAATATTTGCATGACTTAACTAGAATGAATATGTGAAGGCCTCAATGTGTATATCTATTATCGATATAATTACCAACCGGCATTCTATGCCTATACTCCCAAATCATAAATCTTTCGAAAAGTGTAAAGGATTGGATTGTTTTCAAGTTGGCTTTTGCGCTAGCTCATCTCTAACCTTATATGTAGTCATACCTAACTAACACGTATATATGTAATTTTATTAATTTCTTGTTTGATTTTTATTTTTTGAGAAATGATTTTTTCAAAAGGGAAGAATTCATAAACCATGTATTAACTATGCACAATTCAAAGACCATGTTTTAAGTTTAACTAATGCAAAAATCAGGTTTTTATTTAATTAATTAAATATATTTATTAATTAAATATAATAAAATCACAAATATACAATTAATGGTCACTTTTACACAATTATAGGTCACAGATTTATTCATTGGTCACATATCATCAAATTAATTGGTCACGGATTATTTTGAGGTCACGAATCAAAGCTTTGATAGGTCACAGATTTTTTCGAAATCACATATCACAGTTTATCTATCGATTTTATAGGTCACAATTCATGTCATTGGTCACAAATTAAAAATTTTGTAGGTCACACATAATTTCGAGATCACATATCAAAAATTGTATAGGTCACAGGTCATATATTTGCAAATTTGATGGTCACATATTACTTTTAAATCACAATTGTTCGAATTTTAAGGTCACAGATTACAGTCACGGGACCAAACTGGTCATAGACACCCAATCCCGAGCCACCCTCACTCGGCACCACCACCAATGCCAACAAAATCCCCACTAACTCCCGTTACTGCTGCCACCGCCACCACCACCAACACCACCACCAACAAAATCACCCACGACAACCACAGCCACTCCCACTTGCACCACCACCAGCATCTCCAGTCTCCACTACCCCAACACCGCACAACCACCACGACGATAGCATCAACATTGCTGAACGTACCACACACATTACCAGCAACATCACCACACATACCACCATAGCCAGATCACACAAACTCGCCACTAATCTTGTCAAAATATACCACACCACCACCAACGCCATCAACACCTCACCTGTGACTATTAACATTTAATGTCCGGCAACAAATCGCAATTGGTCACGATTCTCGCAACAAAATCGCCTTTCTACGCTCTGCAAAAACCGGTCGCCATATTCAATATGAAAAGCGGCGACGGCAGCGATTCTCCTCCGGGCGTGAGAAGAGTGTCGCTGCACCACCAGACCGCCTCTTGCCATTTCCTATCTTAAACGTCATCGTGCGAGAGTATAGTGCTGTGTCGCGCGACTCCGCTGCGAGGTGACAATCGGCCTGCCCGCGCCGCCACCATTGTTGAGAGAGGAAAGAAAAGGGAAAATAGATCATTTGCCCCATTATCTCCGGCGGCGGTCGCCTCCTCGACGGCGACGGCAGTGAAGGCAGAGAGAGACGAGAGAGAGGGAAGAAAATTGGGGATATGTTTAGGGTTTTTAATTGGGGATAGATTAATTATATAGAAAACCTGATTTTTGCACAGGTAATCTTCAACCTTGGATTTAGAATTTGGAAGTTTAAACACCTGTAGGGGTGTAATTTTCCCTTTTCAAAATGTGCTACATAGAAAATTATTTTATTAAGAAAATATATGATTAAAAATAAGAGAAAGTGATTTTGAAAAAATCAGTATCAAAATAGTGATAAATAGGGATGGTAAATGGGTTGAGTTGCTTGCGGGCTCGACTCGACCCAATCCATGAAAAAACATCATGCGTTGAGATGGACACCCTCCATTTTATTTATTTATTATTATTATTATTATTTTAAACAAGCCTAGCAAGCGGCTTGTGTTGGGCTCGTGTATTGACACTTTTTTGACTTGCTATGAGCTTGTTTTATTAAGGGAAAAATTCATAAGTCAGGTGTATTGTTTACCCCAATTCATAAATCAAATACAAAGTTTAAAAATTCAAAATTCAGGTTTTTGTATAATTAATTGAAAATATTTATTAATTAAATATAATAAAGTCACAGTTACATAATTAATAGTCACAGATCCATAATTATTGGTCACAGATCCATAATTATTGGTCACAGATCATTGAATTAATTGGTTACAGATTATTTTGAGGTCACAAATCAAAAATTTTGTAAGTCACAGACTATTTCGAGGTCACAAACAAAAAATTTATAGGTCACAAATTATTTCATTGATCACAGATCAAAAAAATTACAAGTCACATATGTTCAAATTTATTGGTCACATATTCTAAATAGTTGGTCACATGCACCAATTACCCCACCACCGATCACCACACCGTCACCCCCACAACGCCACAAACTTCACTACCACCACGCCACTTGCAACCACCGTCACCCCGTCACCACCACAATAGCACTAACACCAACAACAACACTAAGGTATCACCATCAACAAAATCGCCGCCACTAATCTCTACCTCCAGGTCCACCACCAAACAAACCAATAATACCCAACTTACAACCTCACCACAATCTCCACCGCCAATACAACAACCACCGAAAACAACCACTGCCACCACGACAACAATCATCTTCAACAACACCAACACCACCGCATATAGATCAATCGTCAAGGCCACCACCACCACTAAAGCCACTGCACACCGACAAGGCCACTAAACACCAACACTCAAAAGACCCAACAAATCCCACTAAATAAACAAACAGAGCCACCTTCAGGACAACCACCACCGCATCCAACACCACTCAAAAAACCCAACCAACCCCGCTGTACACCGACGAGGATTCACGACACACCCACTCCAACGCTCTTCACTAGCTTTACCTGCACCGCACACCATTCCAACACTCTTCAGGACACACCATTTCGACGAATCGTCACTCCTCTATACTAGGCCCTGCTATTTCGTGTACCATAGAGCTACAGTGACAGACCTTCCCAGCAGCGATTCTCTTGATTGCATCAGCGAGGTGACAGATCTCGTACAGTGATTCTCTCAGTTGCAGTGGCGAGGCGATGTTGTTGTTGTGCTGGGCTATGCGATAGATCGCACACTGTGATTCTCTTGGTTGCAGGGGTGAGGCGATGCCACTGTTGGTGTCTCCGGCGGCTGGCGCTCCTCAACAACCGCCCATTCGATGCCGCACCTCAACGCCAATGGTGCCATGTCATTGGAAATAGCGTGTTGCAGGAGAAAAGACGCGATATAGAGAAGGGAAATGTTGAGAAAGAAAGGGGAAATAGATCTAGGGTTTGAGGTGTATGAGGTGTGGTGGTTTAATTATAATACCTGATTTTTGATTAATTAAATTTTGCACCTGAATTTTTAAAAGTGATCTTTAAATACCTGTTATTGTGTAATTTCCACTTTTATTAAATTCTTTCAAAAAACCGTATCATATACTTGGGGTTTGGGTTAGTCTTTCTCTTGAATTATCCCCACACTCCAAGTTATGCTTAGGAGATAGGCCCCTAGGTGCTAAATTGCGAGGGTGATAAGTAATACTAGACTATTCAAAATCAAGTCCTTGTTTGAACCTCATTTTTTCATCAAAATACATTTTTTCAACGATGATTTAACTATATTTTAACCACGCACTTTTCGATAAAATAATATTGCACATAAATTCAATTTTTTTCTTATTTTTTAATTACACATTTTCCAGCATAACACTATTTCAAAATATTTTTTGAATGTAAAAGGGCTCAAACAACCCTAAGCATCTGCCTAGGCATATACAAACAGCATATTTGATTCGGATTAAAATTTAATTTTAATTTAAATCAAAGTCAAACAATTAATATTATTCACATCTTTTATCGTCCCACAACTTTTTAACCACACGTTTCAAAAATTTCTACTAAAAGAATTAATTTTAATCCCCAACAAACAATGGCAACTGCAAATTAATTTTAAGCCCCTGAAAATCCCCTTCCCTCCTGCACCGTCTAAGGCGACAACTCCACCGCCCGCTTCGGAGCCGACTGTGGTCGAACCGCAAAAAGTCGATTACTTAAACCTTAATTGCCCGATTCCATATGAAGAAATTCACCGGGAAGCTCTCAGTTAGTGCGTTTGTTCATTAATTTTTAAATGCGTTAGTGAAGTTCTTTATTTTTGTTTATTTGCCAATGTGTACGATTGGCTTCAACATTCTTATTACTAATTTAGTGACAGTATTAAGGATTTTTTGTTGTTAATTGAAATTACGTAAGTATCGTTGCTTGAAGATGGGGATCAGTGATTGACTTCGAATTTATTTGTGAATAATAATTCTAATTAGTCCTGTTGGCGTAACGTTAACTGTATTTGTATTGATACTATTGTCAACGTCCTTGAAGCCAGAACTTTTTGAGGATCATAGTCACAATTTTTAGGTTACATATCCAATTATTAATCACAATCAACCAAATAATTGGTCACAAGCATTCAATCCCATCCCACCCCGACCACGGCCACCACATAAACACCAAATCCGTCGAGATCTGCCACCATCCCCAACATCTCCACCACCCCTGCCAACATCACAACCACACCACTCAAACATCACCAAAACCATACCACAGCCACCGCCACAACCATGCTGCCGTCGCAACCGCCCAATTCGATTCCATCTCCTAGATCACTGTCGATTTCGTCACTGCAGCAAATCCCAGATCTTGACGACACCGTCGCAAAATAGATCCAAAACCACCACCACTATCCACCACGTCGCCACCGCCTGCACTGCATCCAACAACAAAAAAAATCAACTACAACAACCACATCACCTCACGCCATTGTCGCTGTGCACACACCACACCCACGCACACACAGATGCTACAGTAGTGGTCGTAACACTGCTGCGAATGGCAATGTCGACGAACAGCATCGTCGCAAGGCTATCGTTCGTAGCAGCATAGGTCGACGACGCTGCATTGACATTTGACAACCTCCATTCCAGCAGCGCGGGTCAGAGAAGCTACTCTATCCTCCATCACTGACAGTTTTGAGAGAGAAGACATGGGAAACGAAGAGAGAGAAGCAGCTCTTCCATCCTTTGTCGCCCATGATTTTGAGAAAGAAGACATGGGCACAAAGAGAGAGAAAATGAAATTCATATCAGATTAGGGTTTGGAATATTAATAGATTGAAAGAATTCTGATTTTTGAAATATTAAAACGTTGGCCTGCCTGCTTTTAGAAATTTGGATTTTTAATGTAGGATTTTGTGTAATTTCCACTAAAACAAATTTATGAAAAATGGTTTCAAGTTTTAGTGTGTAGCCCATCAATAATTAATACCACTTGGAAAGCCCAGTCTAACTCTTAAAACTAATTATTTGTTTTTTAAGTGAAAATTACCCCACATAATCCCTCTTAATAAAATACTCAGTTATTACTATTTCAATATTTTTATTTCAAATAATACTGCATTTAGGTTAGTAAAAATGATAAAAGAATGTATTCACTCATAAATTATGTTTAATTAATAAGGCGGTCATTTCGTTCACAAAATGGACCCAATTCGGGAAAAATTCATGTATTACCAAATTGAGAAGTCATATTCAATATGTTGACCATTGGACTCAGATCTCATGAGATTTGTCCAGGGACCCATTTCAATCAGGTGTGAGTTTGGATTCTCCGCAACTCAGATTAGACCCGCCGTAACCTCTGAAAACATCATGATTACCCCTTGTCACACAAACCTCTCAAATCAATACACTTGTCAGGAGTGACATCACCACCGCCCAAAACCACCAATCCAAAGCCCGGAATCTCAAGCCCCTTTGCAGGTCATCATTACCTGGAGAAAATATTGAGACATGGCCACCGGCCTAGTCGACCAACCATAGGAGAATTCGACGACTCGAGTTCCGAGCTCGGCACTGTAGCTGATTTGATGTAATTTCGGCTAAAGCCATGTATAAATAATGGAGTAGAAGTTTTGTAAAGAGGAGAGATACACACAAAATTATAATCCTATCACATCTTCTCTGTATATTTCATGATTCGATTTAGCAATAAATCGCCATTTTTCTTAAAGTTGGCTCAAAATTAGCCTTGCAAATTTCGACATCAACAGTTTGGAGCTAGAATGAGGGCCCCATTTGTGAAAAACAGCCCCACTCTCCCCGAAAACCTGAGAACCATGAATCACAGCTCCAGTTCTAGAAATCCGTCTCACACCCACCCTCATGAAACCAATACTCCACCAAGTTCTCCACGACAACAAGACCCACAGATGATCGTCATGAGGGAAGCCCTGGAAAAACTAACAAACGCATGGGATGATTAGAATGGAGCCAAGCCCACTTATCCCCACCAGATATCGAGGTGGAATTCCCTGCAAGGACAAGGGCAAGACATTCTCCCACTAGAATGACTCTCTACTTTTCAAGAGGAGAATCCTCAAGGAGTCAAATCGATGAAGTTAGAAATAAGGATCCCCCAACAAGGAGGACTGATAGTGTATTCGACAGGTTGGGGACCCAGTACTGGCTAACCCCTACACGAGGACAGGCTGGTTCCAACCTTAAACGTCCTCTGGAACAGACAGATCCCGAGCTGAGCATGCTGAAAAGGTACATCGCTGAGCTGGATGCTAAAAACAAAGGTGACACTGAAGACTATCTCACCAAGCGACATTCCCCATTTACTGAGGATGTCCTCATGGAACCATTGCCCGAAAAATTGAAGATTTCCCAAATGGCCGCGTATGAGGGAGATGGAGATTCCCTCAGCCACATTGACAAGTACACCTCGTGGATGGAGTTGCAGGAGGCAAGCGACGCCATCATGTACTGGGCATTCCCCTTGACTCTGGGAGACAAAGCTCAGAGGTGGTTCAGGAGACTGCACCAGAGGTCAATAAAAATTTGGAATGACCTGGCCATAGCATTTTTAGCCCAGTTCATGGGCTCCAAAGCCAGAACCACGCCCAAGAAGCGGTTAGTAAGTATCAAACAAGGAAATAGTGAACCCCTCAAAGGTTACCTAAGCAGGTTCAACAAATAATCCATGGAAATAGAAAAAATATCCGATGATGCCGCACTCATGGCAGTACTGGCTGGACTAATGCCCAGAACGAGATTCTAGTGATCGGTACACGAGGACGACCCAAGAACCTATCATGAGTTCTTGAACCAAGCTGAAAAATACGTAAGTGCTGAAGAAGCAACATCTGATCAAGAGGAAGCTTGGTGCGATCCCGACCTTAGCAATACAGCAAAAGAGAAAAAGTAGAATAACAGTCCTCAACACGAAAGAAAGGACAGGAGAGAAAGAGAACGTCACAAGGCTCAACTGCACAAATTTCGAGAATACCACCCACTCAAAGCCTCCTTGAAAGAAGTATTCATGCAAACTAGTGAAAAAGAGGCAATCCGTAGGCAAGTGATCTAGAAGAATGGGCAGACAGGACACCACCAAGGGCGATACTGCTGATATCACAGGATGGTGGGTCATGATATTGATAATTGCCAGGAATTGAAGGAGGAAATTGAGTCCTTAATTCGAATAGGTCGACTATAGGAGTTTGTTGCCGAACCAAAAGTGGATTGACCTCCTCCGCATCAACCATTGCTACAGGGACCTCCTGCACGAGCTCAGCAGATAATTCACAATCATAACCCACGCACCGAAATCAAAATGATGGTTGAAAGGAACTAGTATATCGAGGGATCTAGAAGGACGAGACAAAGAGAAGCCCGAAATGTCCGGATCATGTCGAACTACGAAGATTAAACCCCTCAGATCGGCACAGACCCTGAATGGTTCTAGTTCATGGAGGAAGATTCTCTAGGAGTCTTCCAGAACCAAAGTGACGCCCTAGTGGTCACCATGCTAGTTGCCGGGGTGAATGTTCACAGGACATTAGTGGATAATGGGAGTTCGGTCAACATACTATATTCACGGACTCTGAGGCAGTTAGAAATATCGGAACGCTACCTTCAACCATACTCAAGGAAACTGCAAGGGTTCTCTGGAGACCCTATTGAGACTCGAGGTCAAATCGTCCTTATTGTAGAGCTGGGCGAAGCCCCTCGTCAAAGAAGAATTCTGGTGGATTTTGTGGTAGTCGATCTGCCGTCCAACTATAATGCAATATTAGGACGACCCATATTGCACAAGCTGAAAGTCGCCACATCAATCTATCATTACTGTATGAAGTTCCCTATCCCTCATTGGACTGAGATAGTCTGTGGAGACCAAGCTGGGGCCAGAGTGTGCAATATAGACCTACCCAAACCTCAGGTTAACATGCTAAGGGGCAGGGCAAATACACGAGCCGGGGAAGCCAGACTAAAGAGACCAATCGTGGCGGATCTCTCTGAGATCGGCATAACTGAGAAACATTTCAAGCCACCTATGGATGACCAATTATCCTTTGACGAAAAAGAGCAGATCCACATCCCTACCCTAGAGTTGTGGTAATCTCATTACCAGTCACTGGAGTAACCATCCCAAAAGTCTTGGTGGATACGGGAAGTGCTCTCAACATTTGAAGTGCCCTCAACATTCTCTTCAGCAACCCTCAAGTGGATAAGTATACCTGCCAACTTCTACAACCATACTCAAATATGGTGATTGGACTAAGCGGAACCCTGACCTCAGCTAAAGGATCGATCAAACTCAAAGTTGAGTCCGGATGGCACCCCGTCAAGTAAAGACAAACTCTGAGTTCGTGGTGTTTGATACTCCATCGCCTTATGACAACGTCATGGGGAAACCATTGATATTCATTTTGAAAGAAGCAGTGACACTATACCACTATTCAATTAAATTTCTCACTCCCCATGGTGTGGGCGAAGTCAAAGGAAACATGGAGCTCACTGATACATGTCAATTGAAAGCCTACAGCTGCCATCTACGTACCCTCCTGGGAGTGCATATGGTTCATGTATCGGATTTCGAACTCAATTCAATAGACACGTGGATCAAAATCGAAGGGGGAGAACCCGTCGAAGAGTTGGAAAGAGTCCAAGTTTGTGCCGACAACCCATCAAAAGAACTGAAAGTCGGACGCAAGCTGCAACCCTCCACCCGAAGTGAAATTGTTGCTTTTCTTAGACAGAACCTTGATGTCTTTGCTTGGGACCATGGGGACATGAGAAGAATAGACCCTGAAATTGCCTACCACAAATTGGAGGTAGACCCCTCTGTTCGGTCAAAACAGCAAAAACGACGCCCCTAAACCCCGAAAGATATGAAATACTCAACAAGGAGGTACAGAAACTGTTGTACAACGGTTTCCTTCGAGAAGCAAAATATCCAAAGTGGGTCGCAAACTTGGTTCTTGTAAAAAAACACAATGGAGATCGGAGGGTATGCATAGACTTCACCGACCTCAACAAAGCATGCCCCAAAGACAGTTTTCTCCTATCGAGAATAGATCAAATGGTGGACGCCACTGCAGAACACGAACTACTTAGCTTCATGGATGCATACTCCGGCTACAATCGCTACCAATGTATGGCCCAGATTAGGAACATACTTCGTTTATGACTGACAGAGGTATTTACTGCTACAAAGTAATGCCCTTTAGACTAAAAAATGCCAGGGCCACCGATCAACGACTTGTGAACTCCATGTTTTCCTAGCAGATCGAAAAAATAATGGAAGTATATGTTCATGACATGTTGGTCAAAAGTGCCAAGGCCAAAGACCACTGCCGGCACTTGGCCGAGATGTTTGATATCCTGAGAACATATGGAATGACGTTGAACCCAAGGAAATGTGCCTTCGGGGTTAGCTCCAGAAGATTCCTAGGTTACATTGTAAATAATCGAGGAATCGAGGCAAACCTCAAAAAAATACAAGCTGTTATCCAAATAAAGCCTCCAACCAAACCCAGAGAGGTGCAAAGTTTAACTGGGAGGATCGCCGTCCTCAACCGGTTTGTCTCTAAGTCTATAAACCGATGCAAACCCTTCTTCGACACACTACGAGGAGGAAAGAAGTTTGAATGGATCGAGAAATGTTCGGAAGCCTTTAATGAGTTAAAAAGATAGCTAGCCAGCCTCCACTGCTCTCAAA